GCTCTAACCAACTGAGCTACAGAGACAGTTGTCAAGCTCTAACCAACTGAGCTACAGAGACAGTTGTCAAGCTCTAACCAACTGAACTACAGAGAGACAGTTGTCAAGCTCTAACCAACTGAGCTACAGAGACAGTTGTCAAGCTCTAACCAACTGAGCTACAGAGAGACAGTTGTCAAGCTCTAACCAACTGAGCTACAGAGAGACAGTTGTCAAGCTCTAACCAACTGAGCTACAGAGAGACAGTTGTCAAGCTCTAACCAACTGAGCTACAGAGAGACAGTTGTCAAGCTTTAACCAACTGAGCTACAGAGAGACAGTTGTCAAGCTTTAACCAACTGAGCTACAGAGAGACAGTTGTCAAGCTTTAACCAACTGAGCTACAGAGAGCTAGTTGTCAAGCTCTAACCAACTGAGCTACAGAGAGACAGTTGTCGAGCTCTAACCAACTGAGCTACAGAGAGACAGTTGTCAAGCTCTAACCACAAGTTCATGTATAATTCAAAAAAGGTTGTCCTTTGCAACCTCTAAACCTTAAACCTTAAAGCGTGCAAACATAATGGGGTTATCAGTTTAGAAATCATATATGGGGCCCATTTCTTAGAGACATGTAAATATCTCATTACGAGAACACTTCATTCACAAGTAGCTGCAATATTCAAAGTTCTACTAAACTTGAAACTTGTGCTCCCATTAAGCTTTGCACGCTTAGAGCTTAAGGTTTAAGGTTTAGAGTTCAAAATTGGCAAAGGACAACCTTTTTGAACTGGCTGCATGTATATATATATATAGTAAGGTGATGCCAATGTAAAGGTGTATGTGTAAATATCAGGACTTTGAGCATGTACTGATATACACCCGATAGAACTTTATAAATCCATCTAAAAAACTCTTCTAAAATATTGTCTACTTTCTAGAATATTGCATACTTGTTAATTTAAATTGACGCCTTTTTTACCTGTACTTAATCAGGTTGATGAATACAACTCAAGAGTCCTATCTATCTACGAGAATTTACAACTGCCTTGGGATCATGAATATTACGCTAATCTCTACAACAACTGGGGAGTGGCCGTCATGTCAAATAATCCTGAACATGACAAGGAAGTATACGACAGAGCTATAGACTATATGAATAAAGCGCAGAAGGTAAGCAAAGTGTGTTCTACTTAATGCATGGATGGATCCAGGCAGATTTGGGGGGGGGGGCGTTCTGCTTATCAAGACCTGGTGATGGTTTGGGGTGTGGCCGTTGACCAAGTGCATTATCACTGGAGGGAGATACGGGATGTAGTGTTCTGGGAAACTGGCGAAATTATAGAAAGAAAGAAAATACTTCTCATGGCAGGGTCCAGGGACAAAGCTGATGGCAAGAGTAACAGAGTATTGCCTTTCCAAATCAAAAATTGCATTTGATAAGAAAATTGGCACTCCCCTTGCACCCCATTTTCCAAGGTTAACAGGGGTGCGCACCCTCGGCACCCCCATCCTGACTTAATGTTACTTGTTATGTTATATGATTTCTAACTTAGATCTACGAGTCAGTGTACTTTGGTCACTTACCGCCTCAAGTAACAGTCACTCTCAATAATCTGGCGCTGTGTAATCGACGACTCGGTAACCACGAGGAAGCTAGAAAAGTATACAAAAGGTATACGATTAATATGCGAAAGGTGTGGATGTTGGTGTGCAGTCAGGGTCGCCGAAAGGTTGCCCGGGGCAAAGTGCTTCTCCCCCCCCTCCCCACCCCTCTCTACGGGTCTGTATACAATTGCTTTTAAATCACCCCTGTGACCAGAGTTCAATTTTGCTTTGTTGTGTGATTGTAATAGACAACTTGCATGTTAGACTAATTTTTGATTTAGGCAAAAAAAAAGTAAGTTCCCGTAAAGAACTTATTAAAATTAGTAAAAATGCAAAATTTGGTTGCGAAATGTTGTAAAATACGGAAAATATAGCCTTGCGAAGTTTGCATATTTTCAGTATATTTATATTACGTGCGGAAATTGTTACCATTTTTGAGCCGAAAATGGTAACAACTTCCGCACGTAATACAAATATACTGAAAATATGCAAACTTCGCAAGGCTATATTTTCTGTATTTTACAACATTTCGCAACCACATTTTGCAATTTTACTAATTTCATTATGTTCTTTTTAACTGTTGTGTTTTATTTCCTTCTCTTTACTTAGATTAAAATTTAGTCTAACATGCAAGTTGTCCATTTCATCTTAGTTACCTACTAGAAAAATGTTCCGAGTCTGGCTCTACCAAACACCTCAGTGTTTTCGGGTACTCCGGGTTTCTCTTGTAGCAACCTCCCCTCAAATTCCGGCCATGTTCATTTTTGTAATTCTATCTTATTTCGACAGAATATTGGCCATCCGCATCGACACGCTGGGAGAAAATCACACCAATGTCGCGATGGTCTACAGAAATCTCGGCACGTTGGAATATGCTGACAACAAAATTGATCTTGCGTTGGATTACTACGAGAAGTCTTTGAAAATATTCGAGGTCTGTTCAATAATTTTTACTGGACAGCTTTTGACTGTCAGTGCCTAACCCAGGAAAAGTGCTTCCGGGTTGACTCTACCATGCAAACACCGTATAATTTATCTGGGTACGTAAGGCACACACGTAAAACACGCACAAACTGTGACAAAGCTGCAGCATACTTGTGACAATCCTGTTCCAACAACTTGTCAACAGGATGTGTTCGCACTGCTTGTTCCCAGCTTGTTACAAGTTGTTCCAACAACTTGTTATCGTCCTGCAATTGATGGGGCCCTCATTGATACCAGTGATGCATCACTGAAGAAGTTACCCTACGGAAATAAATGTGATTTGATTTGTCAACAAGTTGTGCTAATGTGAGTGGCAACCTTGTAGCAACTTGATAAAATAACAGTATTGTCACAACTTATTGACAGGCTTGCTACAAAAGCCTGTTGCGAACACATCTTGTTAATAAGTTGTGAGATTTTTACGTGTGTACTGCAGTGGTACCGCTGGATCTCTAGGAACAACAGAACTGATAAAAGGCAGCTATCCAGAATAAGTAAAGTAGGAAGAACACTGAACCAACAAGGGATGACCATTACCAGACCTTGAATTCAATCTGTTCTCCGTAGAAGCCTGCTACATGCAGAGAACAGATTTAAAGTGACATGCAGAACTGTTCAATATAAGTAAAGGTAGTTTGGCGTATGTCAGTAATATCTAGTATAGTAGTAATTAAGCAGGACCACCTCAGGAATTCGTTTTTTGTAAGGTCAGCAAATCTGTGGAACAGCCTCTCATCGAAACTTAAGAGTTGTACATCAATATCTGTATTTAGTTCCAGACTACGTAAAGTGTATAAAGAACGACTGCTATTTTACAGCCCTCCTGGCTGTTCTTAACTTTAAAATATCCTATAGTTTCCTATTCATGTAATGTGTTCGGTCGATGTATAGTCATTTATTAGGAGTTAGGTGTCAATTGGGACGCAAGTCCTGTTCCTCTCTCCAGTCACACCAATGGCTATTTTGTACAATGTCCAAAATCTGTTTTGTTAGGCATTTGGGGAAGAACATTTGGAGACAGCGTTGTCTTTAGAAAACATGGCATTAGTCAAAATTGCTCTGGAAAATTGGGACGAGGCTCATTACTATTTCAACAAGGCAGGTTAGTTGTACTACCAATCCATTTCAATGTGGAATACATACTAGACCTTTCCTGGGACGTTTTCAGCAAAGTGAACCTTTTCACAAAGGACCTAATTTCTTGCAGTCAAAATGTGATCGGCAATCTGAGTGACTATGTGATCCTAATACTTTTTAGTTACCCGTGTTCACCATAGAAAAAAATTTGTAATAATTGTCACAAAACCTTTGTTTGAATTCTAGGTGAAATTCTCCACAGAACCGGAAGAATGAATCATTCTTTACCCTCAATAAATGCAGTAATGGCCGACCACTACCTAACAAATGACCGAGAACCAGACGCGTACAAGTTATTTCAACGTTTAGTTGGTACCAGTATTGCTCAACCGCGTGACTATGCCGCATTGGAATACTTCGATCGTCAACTGCCGGAAAACGAACGGCCGACGAGACCTTACGAACATACTACAGAATATGCGTTAGAAAAGTACGTAGTCAATTATGAAATCTACATTTATCTATATCTATCCTTTGCGTGTACTTATAGCATTCAGTCTCATTGAATTACTATCTTCAGTGATTATTCTGGAATAAGGTTTTATATGATTATTTACCAAAGAGAGTAAAACCTTTTGTTTTGATATATACTAGATATATTCTGGATAGCTGTATCAGTTCTGTCAATATGGCTGTTCTTCCTAGAGGCCTTCTTATGTGCCCCGTATTACAACAGGATGAACCCTAAATTGAACCCGACAGCTTAGTCTGTTGGAGTAAGCAGTATAACAACTGAATATTACAGGAACGGCCAGGAACTGTGCAAGCGGGGGAGGGGGGGGGGCTGGGGCTTCGACTTGACCGTTGCATCTCTGACATCTCCGTGTAACTGTTCTTTTACATTATTTATTGAACGTTCTCTGACTTATACCATGATTATACCACGTGCACGAAAATAGCAATGGGGAAAAAATGTGAAATCCATACTATGAAATTTGCAATTGCACCACTAAATCCATAGTATATTCATATTATTTCGATACAATATCCATAGTATGAAAATATACAATTATTATGGATAATCAAAATCCATTCTATTTCCAATAAAGGTCCATACAATTTCCATTCTATGACCTATTATGGACTTTCAATTTTTTTTCCAGTGTAGGTTGCCACACCCTCGGTTTTTTTTTACAAAAATATAAAAATAAATATGTGTACCCTTGGTTAACAGCTTGGCAAGAACCGAAGCCCAATCACAGATGTAAAAGATGGATGCACTAACCATCATCAACACATCAAAAATATTAGAATATCAGGGTTTGTATATACATTTTAAGACCTAACCAGGAGTGACTGCGAAAAATGCAGCACAAGGTCCTCTGGTAGGAATTGTAGGATTAGGTCTTAAAATGTGTATACAAACCCTAACATTCTAATATTAATTCCACCAAGTGAAGTGCAAGAATCCAAATCGTTGAAGTCCAACACATCATAAACATTTTTTAACAGAAAGAATATCAATTCTTATATAAACATTTTATTTCGCGTATTTTAGATGGCCGGATAATGAAATGTTACTTCGAAACAAGATCGTTTCTCTCAGCGAGTCAGGAGATATCGACAAGATGATGGAATATTTGAACAAAGCCAAGTCGTGTAGTGTGGATGTATATCTCTCAGCGTACAGCTCGTTTGTCGAGAAAGGCCATATTGCCATCGCTATGCCGATACTTAAGGAGGGTCTGGAGCATTATCCTCAGAATCAAGTAAGAAACGAGATAATAGTTGTTATTTTATGACCTTCTGAATAGGCAATTTCAGTTATAGACTAAAATTTGATCTAGGCAAGAAGAACAAAATCCATGACCACAGCTAGAAAGAGCATGTTAAAATTAGTAAAATTGCAAAGTTTGGCCGTGAAATGTTGTCAGTAAAATGCGGAAAATATAGCCCTGCGAAATTTGCAAATTTTGTGGGAAAATGCACCACATTTGGGCCGAAAGTGGTGCATTTTCCCATACGTAATACAAATTAATACAAAATTTCGCAGGGCTATATTTTCCTCGTTTTACAACATTTCGCAACCAAACTTTGCAATTTTACTAATTTTAACATGCTCTTTCTAGCTGTTGTGATGGATTTTGTTCTTCTTGCCTAGATCAAAATTTAGTCTACAGCTGGAATCATCCATTTATACTAGGTATATAAATCGTTCGGTATATAAATCGGTAAACCTGCACATAGAAATATATCCCATCCCACTTAGACAGGTTTTTCGGCTATCCGGGTTCGTATGAACGAACCATTACTAGAGCAACGCCATGACTTTTACTGGAAAGTTTTAGAAAGAACGGGCACACGAGCACTGCTCGCAGGAAATGTTAAACAGCTGCAGGAAATTCATTTTGAATAAAGTTTTGGTATTGAAAATGTCCCACTATGGGCGCAACAACATATGGCTGACACAGACAGTATTCCTTGAATTTAAAACCATGGTCAGCTAGAATATTATATGTTTATGTGCATGCAGATTTTAATAGCACAAAAATGCTCTTTTGGTCTGCAGGAAATTTTTGTCTCCAGATTGTGCTCCCAGGAAGAAAATTCTTCTTTCCCGCCCTGTCTGCGATTCCGGTGCAGCGCTCTAACCAACTAAGCTTTCGACCTTTAGAACTGATAGAGCCTTTCAGTATACTATTAATGTTAGTTTAGTATCGTTTCTTTTTTTCCTTAGAACTTACTTCGTAACATGGTGGAACTATCCTTGGCCTTGAAAGATTACCCGATGGTTATTCAATGTACGGAGAAACTGCTGGTTCAGGACCCCAATGAACTCTTCGCATTGATTTTCCTTGGTCGCGCCCAGGCCCTTACAGGTGATCTCACGCGGTCAAAAGAAACATTCTCTCGAGGTTTGTCGCTGGCACAGCAAGCCCAAGACGAGGAAAATACTACAAAGGTAACAAATTTGTTACATCAGGCATATTTTCGACAAACCTTTTGACACTCCAGTCTAGTCACTCTAGTGTCTTCATCAAGAGTTATC